TCTTCGCCTCACTGTACGTGCAGATGCACTCACCCCTGCCTGCTGCCATTCCTGAGCAAGCTCTGCACTGGTGGTGCCCCGATCCCGCAGCTGAATCAACTTTAGGAGACGGTCCTGGCGCTTGCTGGACTTTCTTGGGCGCCCTGACGCCTTCTTCACAACAATTTAACCTCTCTCCTTGAAGTTCTTGATGATCCGATAAATGGTTGATTTAGGTGCAATCTTACTAGCAGCAATATCCTTGCCTGTGAAGCCCTTTTTGTGCAAAGCAATGATGACGGCACATGTTTCCTTGCAGGTAACCATGGTTAACAGAGGAAGAACAATGATTTCAAGCACCACCCTCCTTTTAAAGCTTCCAGTCTGTTATTCTAACTCAATCAGCATGACAGAGTGATCTCCAGCCTTGTCCTCGTCAACACTCTCACCTGTGTTAACGAGAGAATCACTGACATGATGGCAGCTGGTCCTTTTGTGGCAGGGCTGAAATGCAGTGGAAATGTTTTTGGGGGATTAAGTTCATTTTCATGGCAAAGAGGGACTTTGCAATTAATTGCAATTCATCTGATCACTCTTCATGACATTCTGGAGTATATGCAAATTGCCATCATCAAAACTGAGGCAGCAGACTTTGTGAAAATTAGTATTTGTGTCATTCTCAAAACTTTAGACCACGACTGTACATGGAGACAATGGATAGTAAAAGACACACCCATACTACCCTCTACTGGACTGCTGTAGGCAGTGCAGAGGAGCGCTCCACTGGCCACATCAATTAAAAACATTTACTTTGATCAAAGAGGGTTTATTATATTCACCTCTTCCTCTCTGCTTTGATTACAGGGTTGCCACTATAACAGAGATTCTGTAGTAATAGAGTTAACAGTGCACAGTAAGATACACTATATACACAAAAGTATGTGTATACGCCTTCAAATTAGTGGATTCGGCTATTTCTGCCACACCCGTTTCTGACAGGTGTATAAAATCGAGCACACAGCCATGCAATCTCCACAGACAAACATCTCTAGTAGAATGGCCTTACTAAAGAGCTCAGTGACTTTCAACATGGCACCGTCATAGGATGCCACCTTTCCAACAAGTCAGTTCGTCAAAATTCGGCCTTCCTAAAGCTGCCCCGGTCAACTGTAAGTGCTGTTATTGTGAAGTGGAAACGTCTAGGAGCAACAACGCAATGGCTCAGCCGCGAAGTGGTAGGCCACACAAGCTCACAGAATAGGACCGCTGAAGCGCGTAGCGCATAAAAATAATCTGTCCTCGGTTGCAACACTCACTACCGAGTTCCAAACTGCCTCTGGAAGCAACGTCAGCACAATAACTGTTTGTCGGGAGCTTCATGAAATTGGTTTCCATGGCTGAGCAGCCGCACACAAGCCTAAGATCACCATGCACAATGCCAAGTGTCGGCTTGAGTGGTGTAAACCTCGCCGCCATTGGACTCTGGAGCAGTGGAAACGCGTTCTCTGGAGTGATGAATCACGCGTCACCATCTGGCAGTCAGACTGACAAATCTGGGTTTGGCAGATGCCAGGAAAACGCTACCTGCCCCAATGCATAGTGCCAACTGTAAAGTATGGTGGAGGAGGAATAATGGTCTGGGGCTGTTTTTCATAGTTCGGGCAAGGCCCCTTAGTTCTAGTGAAGGGAAATCTTAACGCTACAGCATACAATGACATTCCAAACGATTCTGTGCTTCCAAATTTGTGGCAAGTGTTTGGGGAAGGCTCTTTTCTGTTTCAGCATGACAATGCCCCCATGCACAAAGCGAGGTCCATTAAGAAATGATTTGTCGAGATCGGTGTGGAAGAACTTGACTGGCCTGCACAGAGCCCTGACCTCAACCCCATCGAACACCTTTGGGATGAATTGGAATGCCGACTGCGAGCCAGACCTAATCGCCCAACATCAGCGCCCGACCTCACTAGTGCTCTTGTGGCTGAATGGAAGCAAGTCCCCACAGCAAATTTCCAACGTCTAGTGGAAAGCCTTCCCAGAAGAGTGGAGGCTGTTATAGCAGCAAAAGGGGGACCAACTCCATATTAATGCCCATGATTTTGGAATGAGATGTTCGACGAGCATGTGTCCACATACAGTGCCTTCACATTTTGTTAGGTTACAGCCTTATTCTAAAATGGATAAACAATTATAATAATCTCAGCATTCTACACACAATACCCCATAATGACAAAGTGAAAACAGTTTCTTTGAACATTTTGCAAATGTATTAAAAACTAAAAACAGAAATACCTTATTTACATAAGTATTCAGACCCTTTGCTATGAGACTCGAAATTGAGCTCAGGTGCATCCTGTTTCCATTGATTATCCTTGAGATGTTTCTACAACTTGATTGGAGTCCGCCTGTGGTAAATGCACAGGTGGACACACTTGTCTATATAAAGTACCACAGTTGACAGTGCATATCAGAGCAAAAACCAAGCCATGATGTCGGAGGAATTGTCCGTAGAGCTCAGAGACAGGATTAAGTTGAGGCACAGATCTGGGGAAGTGTACCAAAACATTTCTGCAGCATTGAAGGTCCCCAAGAACACAGTGGCCTCCATCATTCTTAAATGGAAGAAGTTTGGAACCACCAAGACTCTTCCTAGAGCTGGCCACCCGGCCAAACTGAGCAATCGGGGGAGAAGGGCCTTGGTCAGGGAGGTGACCAAGAACCCGATGGTCACTCTGACAGAGTCTAGAGTTCCTCTGTGGAGATGAGAGAACCTTCCAGAAGGACAACCATCTCTGCAGCACTCCACCCACCACTCAAGCCTTTATGGTAGAGTGGCCAGATGGAAGCCACTCCTCAGTAAAAGGCACATGACAGCTCGCTTGGAGTTTGCCAAAAGGCACCTAAAGGACTCTCAGAGCATGAGAAACAAGATTCTCTGGTCTGATTTAACCAAGATTGAACTCTACAGCCTGAATGCCAAGCATCACGTCTGGAGGAAACCTGGCACCATCCCTACGGTGAAGCATAGTGGTGGCAGCATCATGCTGTGGAGATGTTTTTCAGTGGCAGGGACTGGCAGACTAGTCAGGATCAAGGGAAAGATGAACGGAGCAAAGCACAGAGAGATCCTTGAAAACCTGCTCCAGAGCCCTCAGGACCTCACCTTCCAACAGGACAACGACCCTAAGCACACAGCCAAGTCAACGCAGGAGTAGCTTCGGGACAAGTCCCTGAATGTCCTTGAGTGGTCCAGCCAGAGCCCGAACTTGAACCCGATCGAACATCTCTGGAAAGACCTGAAAATAGCTGTGCAGTGATGCTCCCCATCCAACCTGACAGAGCTTGAGAGGATCTGCAGAGACTAATGGAAGTACCTCCCCTAATACAGGTGTGCCAAGCTTGTAGCGTCATATCCAAGAAGACTCGATGCTGTAATCGCTGCCAAAGGTGCTTCAACAAAGTACTGAGTAAAGGGTCTGAATACTTATGTAAATGTAATATTTTCAGAGGTTTTCTAAAAACCTGTTTTTGCTTTGTCATTATGGGGATTTTGTGTAGATTGATGAGGGAAAAAAACGATTTACAAAATGTTAGAATAAGGCTGTAATGTAACAAAATGTGGAAAAAGTCAAGGGGTCTGAATACTTTCTTTTGGTAATGTAGTGTATATAAAATAAAAATGAAAACATGTGGTTGCTATTTGCTATGGGCCTTTTCATAGATAAAACATATGTGCAAAAACTAACTATATCTTCCCACAACAGACTGCAGTGCCCCACACACCAAAGGCCACTGCTTTACAACAATCCTCATACTTAAACACCTTTGCGTAACACACTCATTCAAAAAACCATTATTGGCTTGTCATACTGTTCTCTCTGCTACCGCACGGCAAGCGGCACCGATGCACCAAGTCTGGAACCAACAGGACTCTGAACAGCTTCTACCCGCAAGGCAATAGTTAGTTAAATACTTAACCAAATAGCTACCCGGACTATCTGCATTGACCCTTTTTACAAGGACTTTTTTGACTCATCACATACGCTGCTGCTACTGTTTACTATCTGTCACTTTATTCCTAGTTACATGTACATATCTACCTCAATTACCTCTTACCCCTGCACATCAACTCAGTACTGGTACCCTGTGTATATAGCCAAGTTATCGTTACTCATTGTGTATCTATTATTACGGTTATTAAGTGTTTAAGTTTTCTATTATTTCTCTATTTTCTTTATTTCTGCATTGTTGGGAAGGGCCTTTCACTGTTAGTCCACACCTGTTATTTACAAAGCATGTGACAAATAAAATTGTATTTTATTTTATTTTATTTGGCAGTAACCATAACCTCAATGGCCCCAACTTGCTGTTAGTGCAGGGTTAGTTGCATCGGTGGATAGACAGGAAGCTGCAGTGCTCTACCCTTCCTTATCCAAAATTCTCTTGACTTAAGCAAATACCTGGAGGAGACAGGATACGATTAATTAGGCTATTAGAGGATAATAACAATTTCCCATTGACAACACCACAATCACACAACACTGTACATGGATAGAATGAGAGCAGTGTTGCACTTTTCAGCCACACGAATGGACAGCTAGGGTGGCCTGCTGAGCTACACCAGCAGCTCATAGTGATGTGGCGATCCCACATGTGGTCATAGGAAGAAAGTGCAACAGATATGTGACACTCTCTGTGTGACTGTGAACAGCCTGGGAACATATTACTCTGCATGTAACATACAGTATTACATTTTGACTATATACAGTATATACTGTGTGTGTGTGTTGTGTGTGTGTACATGACCTTACTGACCTCCTCCACACACTGCAAGAGGCATCCACGGTGCATACTTTCCCCTGTTGTTCATACAGCTCTATGATGGGCCGTGTTGACTGCGGTATGTCTGGACCCTTCAGCACAGACCAGGAACACACACCAGACACACATACTGGCATTTCCATAAAACAAGACATCTCAGTACCACAAGAATAAATGCCTGGAGGCTTGTTGTAGGTGAGGCCCTACCGCTTCTCTAGACTCCCTCTGTTGTCGTTTGAGCATCCACTGCTCTTCCCTCTCTCCAGACACCTGTCAAAACATACCTGTACACACACACACACACACACACACACACAGGCAACCTTGCTCACTTTACCATTCACTTTACCACATACACAATAGAGACTGACCACTTTGTCTTGGGTCAGGTCATTTCATATGCACAGTTGCGTTTAGAAGAAACGTATCAGAGATCACAGATCACACTGCTCTTTCCCTGCTATTCAAAGAGCTGTAGTTAGTTGCCTCCCACCTGATTGCTGCAGTCAAAGAAGAGAACGAATTGGATGTCAGCCTTCCCCTCCATGACATGGGTCCAGCCCTGGAGGTTGTCTTGGTTACACAGAAAGCCATCAATTAGGAAGCGGAACTTTGACTGGTCCAGCTGCATCGTCTCCTCCATCGCCTGGGAGAGGGACGGGGGCAGGGGAGTTGGGAGGGTACAAACAGGATCTGATGACTGTATGTAGATGTCACTCAATTCCTTCTAAAAGAATGCCTCGTCAAGACTTTCTACTCAGCCCAGGAGCAAATGGAAAAAAGGAAAAAACAATAAGACAGGGTTTACTCAATTAAGTGCAAACAAATGAATAGCAAACATCACATGATGAGGTACCTTCCTCAGTAAGTTGATTGTGATCTCCACAGGAACAATCTTCCCATCCTTGATGTTGCTGTCGATCAGCTGTCCATATTCAGAGCCCTCCTGACCCCTCTCGGCCCGCAAGAGGTCGCCTGCAGACAGGTGAGTGTAGCCATAAGCCTGGAATACATGAACAAGGGAAGACCTCAGTAAAAAGGAAAACACAAGTCAAAGCTATGAATTGTTTCAGGAAGGAGGGCATTGGAATGCAGGGAATAGTTAAGACCTGCACTGTGACTTGGGTCAAACTAGGTTATCCTCTGTTGGATGTCAAAAAAAGGGAGGGACTGTGTATGACCGATATGACTGGTGTTTATGTGAGTGCTTATTCCCTTTGAACTCCAATGTCGACATGTCTACATTTATGTCTCATTCCAGCCCAGGTCAACCCAGGTCAGTGTAGAACAGAAACCCCCATGGGAAAGCCCTATTGGCTCCCAGGGTTATAAACTGTTATAAACTGTAGGTGTTACAGAGTTCCAGTCCTGTCAGGAAGACACCTACATATGACTTAAAATATAAAATATCTCCATCCTGACCGAATTTCAAATGTTCACATACCTCCACAATTTTGGCACACTGGGTTCCTTTCCCTACACCAGTTCCTCCAAGTTCAAACACAACTTGTGGTTTCATCATAATCATGGTCAAATTATTTAATTATACTTGAAGGCATGAGTGATCTTTTACCAACTCTATGGCAAAGAGATCACTGAAGGATGACAGTAAAGTTCCAGCGTTCCAATAAGGGGAGGTGCTTTGCTATTACCGTCTACATCAGATTCACTAGCAGGGCCAATCCCATAAACTGAAATGTCATGTCAAATGTCGCGACTCAACTGTAGAACCTCCCATTTGTCATTATTAGCGGAAAATGGGCAGTCTTGTCTGCTCAGAATGCCACGCCTAGATTTATTGATGTAAGGAACTCGACAGTGGTTCATCATCATGTCAAACAAAGATTAGTAGGCTATTCATGAAGGGTATAACTTGTTTAAGGCCTTTAATCAGAAAAGTGCTATTTGTTTTTGAAGAATATCAAGCTCTCCTGCAAAAATCGATTTTAATTTGCCCTAAAATTATATGATACAATTATAGCCTAATCTTATCAATTGTGCTGCCTTCAAAGAATGGGGCTAGAGTAGACAATAGCCTGCCATTGCATGATTGATGTGAGTATGTCGCTCATAAAAAATGAAACCATCAATTGGTCAGGCATAAGCTATAGCCATTCAAGCTTTTGAGGAAATGTACAGACCGTTACTGACAAATAATGGGCTCCCGGCACTACCACGCGCTCAGTCTCACTCTGCGCGTCATTGGTTCACTCATCGTCATCAGCACCAGGGCAGCTGAACAGCGCCAGAGAACGCATTGCTTTCGGAGAAAAGAGGAGACAAGACAGCATCCGTAATGTGTCTGCACGTTGAGTTTATCAAGCCATGCAGCGACAATTCGATACATTCGATTGTCTGATTGGCTATAACTGTGGTAGGCTATATCATTTCTCTCTTCTTGAACAATTGTTTTTCACCCGCTGATTTATCGAGGCGAGAGGCTGTTGTTCATCCAATTCTGCAGAGGAAGCAAGCGTTCAATGAAAAATGCGGGAATTCTCCGCTTTGGCCGTGTTTTTATCCTTCGTTTTACTGTCATAGTGAGGAATGCCCGGTGGTCTAGATTGTCAATGTCATCGCTCCGATCAAGCGCGCCTTGTGAGCCACCAGCGCCGCATCAACAAGCATCACGACCACCACCGGACGTGGACATCGAGACGACGCCTCTGAGTCCGCCGCTCTCCTCCGGCTTGTGACATGACAGCCCGGGGAAGAAAGAAGAGGATCAAGCGGCACAGACCTGCAAGCGGACGTGTGGATTTGAATACACAGGGCGCGGGCAACAATCATTTTGTGGGGCTGGAGCCCACCGAAGCCAGGACTGCAAGAGAGGGCAGTGCCACACAGACACGGTCAAGCTACACCTGCGATCCGAGGCATAGCGAGGATCCAATACCACCAGCTGCTGTTATTTCATCTGTTCCCCTATCATAAGATTAGGCCATCTATCTGTTTTGTCTTTGTGCGTAAATGTGAATGGAACTGATTGCCTTTTTGGATGCATAAAATGCATTGACTAATGTGCCATCTTAACCATAGCGTCTGGAAGTCGATGGGACGTGACAGAGATTGATGACACTTTTATCCCAAGTCCACAGTGTTATCATCCGTCAGGTCCCCCTGACTAGAACCCTAACCTCATCATGGGCTGCATACAGAGCATCACCTGTAAGTCGCGCATCAAACGCGAAAACATAGTGGTCTACGACGTTTCCGCCACTATCGACCACTGCCCAACAGTCATTGAGGAGAACTCGCCTATAGTTTTGCGCTACAAGACGCCCTATTTCAAGGCCTCTGCGCGGATAGTGATGCCCCCTATTCCCCGTAATGATACTTGGGTGGTGGGTTGGATCCAGGCATGCACACAGATGGAATTCTACAACACCTACAACGACATCGGCATGTGAGTTGAGTTCTCCTCCTGTTTTGTATTCCTCCATCAGAAGGCTAGCTGCTGGCTGTCCTCTGTCACAGGGGACTGATGCACCAACCTCCCCCTGATGATATGTCCTAAACTGTCACCTCTCTGGTGCTGTGGGCAGGTGCCAAAGCAAAGGAACAGACCTTGGTCATCGCTCCAGTGTGTGTGTGTGTGTGTGTGTGTGTGTGTGCATGTGTGAGAGAGAGAGAAATCTTAAATGCCACAAATCTCTGAATCGTTTTTGTGTGGCATCAAAAATGACATGAATGCAATGCAACAGTTGATGTATGGCTGTGTGGGTGCATGTGTAGCAGAGCATTTGTGCACACAGCAGGGTAACTATGCTGTCACCCTCTTTCATTCAAACGCCCACCAATTGATTCTGTTCCTGTGATTTCAGTATCAAAATAGAAACAACTGAGGAGCTAAACAACTGCTTCTAGACACATTGTGTTCACAGAAACAAGGGAGAGAGAGAGAGAGCGAGAGAGAAGGAGAGAGAGAGATGCACTGACACTCCCACGCTCCCTCCTCTACCGGAGACAGAATCACACACCCACTCAGACACCCACTGACGAGCAACACAATTCAGCCGCCTCCTGCACTGCCTGGGGGTATTTTTCTCTGGAGGAGGCATATGTGAGGGGGTGTTTAACCCTGGCTAGGGGTGGGGGTGGAGATGGGGTGTCTGGGGGTGCAGAAAAACACGGGGTACAGACAGATGGAGTTATTCTGAGGGGGAGACAGAGGCATCAGGTCACACCAGCTGACACCCCCTCATTGGCCCACACACAATGAGATATGACTCTACTACTGACGCACTGAACCATTTATCACACATACAGTATGGAGCCCTGAGGTAGAATAGAGATAGACATGCTGATTCCGTTTATCAAACATGTCTTGTATGTATTTGTTTGTCTTCCTCTGTTCTCTTAGAGAATGTCTAACTTCCAAATGTGTTTGTGCTGTGTGAGACACCTAAAGCCTTTTGAATCTTCTCGTGACCCTACAGTGTTACCAGCCACAACACAGTGTTAATCTGGGACCCACTAAGAACAGGCTCCAACCCACCATCTGTTAAACTGTAATCTGACCCTTTGTCCTCCTGCAGGTCTAGCTGGGAGCTACCAGAGCTGTGTGAGGGTCTTGTGAGGGCCATCAGTGACTCAGATGGGGTGAGCTACCCCTGGTACGGCAACACCACCGAGACGGTCACCCTGTCGGGGCCCACCTCCAAGCCCTCGCGCTTTACCGTCAGCATGAACGATAACTTCTACCCCAGTGTGACCTGGGCCGTGCCCATCAGCGATAGCAACCTTCCCTTGCTCACCCGCATCAAGAGGGACCAGAGCTTCACCACATGGCTGGTGGCCCTCAACACGGCCACACGGGAGAAGATCCTGCTGCAGACGGTCAAGTGGCGCATGCGGGTGGACATCCTGGTGGACCCCTCCATGCCCCTGGGCTCCAGAGCCACCCTGATGGGCCGGGCACACCAGGACCAGCCCCGCGTCCTAACCCGCATGGAGCCCATCCCCCCCAACGCCCTGGGGAGGCCCAATGCCAATGACGCCCAGGTGCTGATGTGGAGGCCCAGAAAGGGCCCGCCTCTGGTGGTCATCCCTCCTAAGTAGAGGAGGAAGGAGAGAGGGAGGGGAGGTGGAACTATGGGCCCGGACATCCAGCTATGATGAGATCAATATGGACAGCTGCCTTAAATCCCCACCACTGCCTTTGAGTAGAGAGAGAGAAAATAACATTGCCTGGTTCAGGTATAAATACAGGCCAGACCAACAGACGGGCCTCTGCCTTAATAACGTCCTCTGGCCTGGAGAAGCAGAGAGGACTTGTCGGTGTGCCAGGCCCAGCAGGCATCAGAGAAGGCTACACTCCAGGGGAGCAGCCTGTAGCCTACTGCACACCATGCTGCCTCACCAAGCTGACAGAACAGCCATCTTTAATCACAGACTGCTCTGGGTCTATGACAGTGATGTAGAAGAGGTCTGTGTCTCAAATGGCACCCTATTACTCTTAGGCTCCGGTTAAAGGTAATGCATAATGTGGAGAATGCGTTGCCATGTGAGACTAGCCCGAGGTGTGAGAGGCACAGCAGTACATGTATGTGGCTTTATGGGTATAATACAGGTGAGATTGAGGTGTATAATGTATTTTATATGTAAGAACAAAGATTGTGGTACATTTAAAGTCAGGCTTCATGCTCAGTACAGTTACAGAAAGGGATGGATGTGTTGCTGGGAGAGGGGAAAGACAGGGTCTCTAAAGCCATCTACAGCAGGCACAATGAGAACAGCAGTGTAGGCCAGGCCAGGTAGTAGATGAAGAGTTTAATTCCAAAACGCTATATATTCATTTTCAGAAATGTTGGTAAATTAGCTTTTATTTAAATAAATTATGAAAGAGATTGGTGTGTTTTTTCACTATCTAATCATGGCATGTTCAATGACAGACATGCATTTGTTAAAAATCTATCACTTGATGGTTTCATTTCAGAGACTAATTATATTTTTGTTGTGCAAAATGCTATATATCCACCTCACTCTCTGAGAAATAAGTAGTACTGCTAGGTTTTATACAATGAAATGTAACAAATAACTACATTTTAAATAAAGAAATGTACAGTGATTCATTTGTGACATCATTATACATTTTATTTTACAAAAATAATTAAACACAGTAATATGAGATCTGTATATAAAACATTTACATTTGAGTCATTTAGCAGATGTCTTATCCAGAGACTTACAGTTAGTCCATTTATCTTAAGGTGGCTAGATGAGACAACCACAAATCACAGTCAAATATACAGGATAGAAACATTCTATTCCAGCTAAACAATGGATATATAGCGTTTTGCAACAAAACCCATTTATCTAAAAATCTATTAATAAAAAATATGAGAAAATTAATATTTTACACACACATGAAGGTAGCAATAAGCAATCATTCCTGTTGAACAAACACGTGAAAAATGGGTGGATATAGTGTTTTGGAAATAAACTCTTCAGATGAAGAGGAGACTGTGGGCCAGGCCAGGTAGTAGATGGAGAGGAGACTGTGGGCCAGGCCAGGTAGTAGATGAAGAGGAGACTGAGTGGGCCAGGCCAGGTAGTAGATGAAGAGGAGACTGTGGGCCAGGCCAGTTAGTAGATGAAGAGGAGACTGAGAGGGCCAGGCCAGTTAGTAGATGAAGAGGAGACTGAGTGGGCCAGGCCAGGTAGTAGATGAAGAGGAGACTGTGGGCCAGGCCAGGTAGTAGATGAAGAGGAGACTGAGTGGGCCAGGCCAGGTAGTAGATGAAGAGGAGACTGTGGGCCAGGCCAGGTAGTAGATGAAGAGGAGACTGAGTGGGCCAGGCCAGGTAGTAGATGAAGAGGAGACTGTGGGCCAGGCCAGGTAGTAGATGAAGAGGAGACTGAGTGGGCCAGGCCAGGTAGTAGATGAAGAGGAGACTGAGTGGACTAGGCCAGGTAGTAGATGAAGAGGAGACTGAGTGGGCCAGGCCAGGTAGTAGATGAAGAGACTGAGAATGTAACAATGGCCGCGTACCTCTGCCCAGGCATTGCTGACGCATGCTAGATCTTACAACGCGTGGATATTTTAAGTTTCAGCTAACCACAGCATTATGGTTGCGTTTCCCTGCTCACATCAACTGTGTCATCGACTGAAAGATTGCTATACATATGATATGGTTAGCTGATACGTAAAATAGCTGTCCAGGCTTTGTAAGACCTGGCAAGCATCAGCAACGCCTGGGCAGAGGAATACGCTCTACGTTATAGCAATCTGTCAGTCGATGACGTGGCACGCAACCATTGCTTGATGCATGCAACGTCTGAGCAGGGGACGCAACCAATATGAACTCCTCATGCTGCTCATTACTGAGGTGCAAACCATACTAGCCTTTACACTGACAAACACATCCCCTCTGTGACTAAACACATGCACACACACACACACACACACTTATGCACACATCCCCTCTGTGACTACACCCAAGCCATTATCATAAGAGGGACGAGTGGGATATTCCAAACCATTTGTTTATATTGGAGGTCATATCACATACCGTGTATGGTGACAAACATCCATTGAGAGCCAGTCACTCACAGTAACAGACATGCCTGAGAGCAGAATGACTCGGACTGGAGGATGTACAGCACTGTATGTACAGTGGGACAGTGTATGGTGGTACTTTACAGGGTTTCAGAATGGATGGGTGGGAGCTTTTGCATGCAGTGTTTTTAATTCAATAAAATTATTAAAGTAAAATGTTTTTTTTTTTAAAGAAACCATTTAAATCCCTCTGCAAATGTAATCGTTTCCCCCCTCAGTTGCACATTGCCAGTTCATGAGTGTATGTGTTTCAGGGGGGTCTCGTTCACAATATGCACTCGCTCAGAAAATGTATTAGTGGCAGAAACAACAGGGAGTGCATGAGTGTGACTGTGTGTTTGCATCATGGCTCAGAGCACTTGTAGAACTTCTACAGGGGAGACTGTTGTTGTAACATTGTGAGTTATATAACAGACTCGTGATATTAAATGACACACTCGTCTTTGACATAGAAAACATTTCCTTTATGGACTTGTGTTCCTAATGATTGGTAAATACAGTAACAAAGTCAAACTTCCCCACTTCCCCAAATAACAGATAAATCACGTTACTACAATGCGTGGAAAAGTACAAACAGAGGTCTACAGCAGTGAGACAGCAACATAGAGTCCAACACATCCAGACTATTGTCACAAGTCATGAGTGAACATTATGGCCTTTAGGGAAATGCACCAGTCAGAAAACGTCCCTGTCTGTGTCTTTATTTTATCCATCATCTTCATTACTGAGATGATGACAGTAACATAAAGACAGGGGACCCTACCCAATCAGTTTTGACCCAGTGCAGTAACCTGCCTAACAGTTGTGTCCAGTACACTGCTGAGCTTGGTCATGACTCATGGGTCTATTTCTCATGGGTCTATTTCTCTGTGGTGGCCACTTCCTGATCACACTTCACAGTCAAGGAACTTTTACATATGGCTGCGTTTTCACAGGCAGCCCAATTCTGATCTTTTTTTCACTAATTGGTCTTTTAACCAATCAGATCAGCTCTGGAAAAGATCTGATGTGATTGGTCAAAAGACCAATTAGTGGAAAAATATCAGAATTGGTCTGCTTGTGAAAACGCAGCCACAGTGTCTGAGGCCCATGTCATCAATGCCTCTAGTCTAGTGTCCTTCACTCCTCCTCGTATCTGTTTTCTTCTCCTTTCTCCTCTGCTTGACTCTTCTCTTTTCATCTCCTCTTCTTTTCTCTTACCTGACCTCCCTTTCGGTCCTCTGTGATGTCCCCTAGGCTCGGCTGGGGTTGGAGGATGGCTTGTCCTCGTAGCCATACAGGAAGGTGGCCACAATGACCAGTACTGCACCAAGGAAGAACACACTGGAGAGGACACAAATAAATTAAAAACAGACCCAAGGGACATTAAAATAGGAAATTAAAATAACCTGGCTAGAATGTGTGTACCTAGTGGGGTCGAAGTCCTGCAGCCAGAAGTAGGATATGAGGGTTGACAGGATGATGGAGAGTGATGTGGCAAAGCCCTTCAGGATGTTGTCTGCATACTTGATGACAGCTGCTATAACCAGCCCTCCTAGTGCCTAGAGAAACACACACCAGACATGGACTGGATGAGCAGTGGGGTAGTCTGGGCAAAAGGGACACAATAATACTACTAGGCTTACACAATTGGAATCAGATCAAGCAATATTCCCTTAGTAAAGAGGCATGGCAATATTCATTCAGCAATATTAACAGAGCATGCTTTTTCACTTAAAACTGAACACTATTTGACTGGAGTCTGGTTAAGTGGGTAACACTCTCGCATCTGGAACCATATACTTCCCCCTGTGGGGAGGACCCCGATTCGAATCCCCACATGAGCCATAATATGCATTTCTGCTCCCTCTACTCTGTCCCCCTGCTTCTGCTTGTATCCTGACATAAAAATATGGAAGGATTTCGGAATTCCATTGTCCTTTAAAAAAAATATATATATAAATAAAAAACAGAACACTATTTCTCCACATTGGTAGCTTGCGAATTAGCATTACATTTGGCTAAATTTGACCTGAAGCTGATAGGTGAAGTGAAAAGACAATAGTGAGATGTACCTGCAGAGCCACCACTGTCCAGGTGATTGTGTTGTATCCCTGGAACATCCCAGATTCTCGGACTCTCTCCCCATCGTACGCAAACATCCCCATCAGACCAAACACCAGGCCAAACATTCCTACAGACAGACACACAGGTCAGATGATATGATAGTTTGAACTGATGTAGGATTGATAGGAAAGTAGATTTAGCATAACCCTGCCGCCATTCATCAAAAAACAATAACCTGTAGTGCTTGACTGGAAATCAATCATGTCTACATCCATAGACATGAATACATTAATGCCAAAACACTACGCTGATCCATTCTTTATGAGGATGAATGCAGTCTCTTCTTTGTACATACACTCGATACAGGAAACTAGCACAAGTTCACACCAGGAAATGAATCACAGGAGAATTAACACACGCTTCACACGTTCAGAGGTAAAAATAAACTCAGCAGGAAGACTCATTTGGCAGAAAAGGAGCTGAGAGAAAAACGCAGGGTTTCTGTGCAGTGAGGAGGAAGGAACACTGTAAAAACTCCTTTCAAAGACCCGGTAGAGATACTGGAGCTCTGTCATAAATAACATATCTTGAAAAATAATGGGGCAATTCTGGGATGAAAAACTGGAACAAGTGCCCTTATTGCAAGACAACCCTAGTATAGTAGAAACCTTTCATACTGACCCAGTTGGATGTTGCGGACCCAGACGCTCTGTTTGGTCTCTTTGAGGATCTTCTCAAAATAAACACCAGCGAAGCCACTAGAGCAGCAGGCCACCAGCACCGCCACCACACCCACAAACTGGGACCCTTCAGACAACTGCTCCTTCTCAGGGGCCCCGGGAGACTCAGAGGGCCACTAGACATTGGACACACAAAAATATACACAAACCAAAATACACACACTTGCACTAAAACAATTTAGTCACTGGAGTGTGTAAATGCAGGTTTAAAAAAAATTGATTGTAAAGGAGTTAGAGTAGAGTTTACCTGCACAAGTGCGACCCCAGCCATGAGGATGAGCAGGGAGAGCCACTGGTACACACCCAGCCTCCGGCCCAGCATGGACACTGAGAACATGGCTGTGGTGAGGATCTTCAGCTGGTACGTCACCTGGTGGAGAGAGCCAGGTGAAAGCAGGGGACACCATTTAGAGACCATAAAAAGTATACTACCCCGGACACAAATATATATCCCACACAGAAACATATGCATGTGTCCATACAATTACAAAACAGACACACACACACACTCCATAACAGGTTGTCCTACCTGGTAGGTGGCAGCATCCAGGTTGGACAGAGCCACATAGAGCAGATTGTTCTGCAGGGTGTAGATCCCAGAAGGAATGGCCAGCTTCAGGGTCTCTATAGGCTTGTGAGTGATCTCCTGCCTCAGAATACTGTTCAGAGCCCGAACACTGTAGCCTGAGAAACACAGCCAGACAGAAGAGAGGGAGACAAGTAAGCATTTAATTGGACAGTGTATACCATGTGTATCATGTACATACGACTAACAAAACTTTAAACTTCAGAGGGAGACAAATGGAGGGTCAGCTTGCAGCCTATATCTTAAACAACCATGGCAACATCCTTTAGGCCTAAATGTTTAATCCTTTAGGCCTAAATGTATACTTGCACATGTATATTTTTAAACAGTTTTATTTTCTTTGAGGACACTCACTTTGCTCTTTGAATATGAGCAGCACACAGGTGATGATCTTCATGAGCTCAGCCACCACCACAGCAGAGGAGGCCAGGTAGCGGGGGCCGTCCCCTTGCAGTGTGCGGGAGTAGCGCATGGTCAGCACCAGAGAGGTGGTCTGAAACACCAGCACCCCCAGGGACAGATATTTCAGCCTGGACGACGCCATGTTGGGGACAGCAGGGTCACTCTGGTCTACAGGGAGAGTAGACAAGAGTTAGGCACTGCAAGGAGAGGGGGCAGTCTTGAAATTCAAAGGAAGGACCAATGGGCCAAATGGCTGCAACTCTTGCTCCTATGGTCCGGCACTGGAGACAAGCTTCAGTGGTTGTGAAGAAAAATTAGCTCACACTGGCACTGTGGCCAGACAAACATGCTCGCCTCCTGCTGGCTCAAAAACAGCAACACAATCCTCTCTTTGTCCACAAGACCAGGGGCACCAGCAAATACCATACTGACAGTTTCCTAGTGCATCAAAGATTAACTGTCTTTTAATTGTAGTGTGATAAGGTCAGTTTGGACATTCCCATGATTGTAGAATCTCATTTTCAATTACTTCACAGACAAAAGTCAGGCTACATGAATAATGACAGAAAACTAACCATTCAACAATGACTAAATTAATACTTCAACTTTTGTTTATTCAGTTTAATTACAGTCAACTCAAGTGACACATTCCTATAAAGTTGATATCTAGTTGGTGCAGGTCTCTTCTCACATTCATCAACAAGGAAGCAGGCAAGCTAACGTTACGCTCGCGCCACTGACTCATCATTCTCACCCAGTTTGATAATGCAAGACTTGCAGACCTACCTGGTAGCACCGGAAGAAAGCTAGCTAGGTTATACAAAAGTTGTTGAACTTGAGCCGTAATTCTTCAAGTGTGAGTTGTAGCGCAAGCTAGCTAACGTTAGCTTAGCTGGCTTGAGTAGCTAATTAGTTCAGCGGTCTGTTAGTAGCTAACGTTAGCCACACAGTTCAAACAGTTTCTAAACCATACTGTACTGTCTTTGGTTCAAGTCCTCGAGTCCATTGACCCAGGCTGGCTCACAACAACTGTATTCTACCATTGCCCCTTCATACCAATGTTGTTGTCCATAATACCATAATTGTTGTCTGTGTTATTACGGTAACTATTCTAAAGTTGCAAAGACATAGCTAACTAAATCAAAAGCATTTCGTATGATTTTACTCAATGACTTTTACTTCCTTGTACAGTATTTTTGTCTTCCTCATCTGATCAGAAGAATATCAACAACTAACCTTCTGCTCGCTCTCTACTGCCACCTGCTGGATGGGTGGACAGGGTTCTGCTGCAAACCTATGGTGGCAGGCTTGTTCGACAGTGCAGGAGACTGCCGAATGACTTCTTATTCTTCTTCGGTGGAGTTAAACGGCAGTTGACATCCAATATGTTGCATTACCGCCCCTAACTGAACTATACTATAAATCCATTACACTTCGTGATACAAAATGGGAAAAGGGCAAACAGGTAAATATATATATATATGTATTACCCTAGCAACTAACCCTACACTCATTAAAACCCACCACTACTTTAACCCTATCTGATCCTACCCCAGGCCAATGACCTGAGAGGATGGTACACTACCACTCAACACACCCTGTAATTTTTTTTTCTCCTGAAGTCAAACCTCGTACCCCCAAGTACTTCTCTGCAGCTGCCACCACAACATCTATTTTCTGTGACTTACGTTCTATCTCTGCGGTACAGTTGATAACCATCGCTAAGAAGCCAACCTTACTGAAATATATCACTCATTGGCCTATCCCTCTGTTCTGGCATAGATCTACTACATTTACATTTACATCATTTAGCAGACGCTCTATTCATAGGGATCCTCTCAGAATCCCTCACCCTTGATCCACCCTCCTCTACTTTCTTCACTGCCTCAGCATACGACATCTTCTGCACTACTCTGACTCTGGCCACCTCAACCTGCCTCCCTCGCACTGGATACCTCCGATCCCCAGCAACATGGGCACCCCTACAGTTGACACAACTTTTTCCACCGAAACAACACATTTCTCTGTCCTCCTGCACACTTCCCACATCTTGGAATCTCCCTCCTACACACTGCTGCCACATGCCCATAAGTGTGACACCTATAACGTGCATCATGGATTTGATGCTCTCGAATCAGTCTCGAACATAGCCCTTGTCTGTGAGTTTGGAGAGGAATTGAGTCATGGGTAACTGCATCTACCTCAGTGAACTGCATATGTGGAGTGTGTCTGGAAGTGGGGGTTGGGAAACAAGTGGGAGGATCTACACAAGTTGATGTATCGAAACCTAACAGCTAATTGGGCAGATTGGTTGCCACTCAAGATCGTTTTGCAAGGCTGCTTGCTGCTTCCTTGTACCGTTTTAGCTAAGCCTAACCCTAACCCTTTTCCTAACTGATAAAGAAATATGTGAGTAAGATATGATTAAAATGTCACACCCTCAGTTAAACTAATAATGTATGACTAATTAGTAGACTAGAGCTTAGAGAATTAATCAAATGTGTTTATATCCCAGCAACAGAGTACGATTGAAACCAATAACAGGAGACTGGTCCCAAAACACACAGGGAAAGGAGAGTATGAAAACGTTTCAGAATATTGTGAGGACAGCGATATCTAAGGAATGAAGCCTGCCCTAGCAGGGAGTAGATAAGAACAGTGTGTGTGTATCTGTGTGAATCTGTGTGTGTGTATCTGTGTGTATGAGTGTGTGTGTGTGAGTGTGTGTGTGTGACCTGATGGTCAGGAGAGCAGAGGAAAACATGAGTTAAACCCATGTACAGTGGAAATATACAGCCCGCCTACAGAGGGGTGGGATTTTTCCTCTGACGTGTGCGTATAAAAATATTGTACGACCATTTTGTTGCAGAACGTTCTCATGAATAAAGCCTGATGATTGTATGCTGGGCTACTTGGTCTGATTATTAGAGATTTACAACCTCTGGGATACAGACTGAGTAATAAGTTCATTTTTGAAACATTGAGATAGAAATTCTCGTGACAGCTTGGTCCTTTGAGCCGGATCTCAACACCCGTTTTCTGTCGTCCCAGGGAACCCCGAAACCGTGCATGGGCGGATCTAGGATCCATGGGACAAAGTCCTGACCTCTAAGATTGAGGGTTAATCCAGGCCGGCGGTGAACTGATTCACGACAGGAACGGTGACGAGATCCAACCAAATTGAGTCCCAGCTACAAGAATAAGGTCAGTAGTCTTTATTCGTGGGTTTTGGGGGAAATTATCTGAACTTGCAATAACTGTTGTAATTCTTGTAAAGGACAGATAATTATTACCAAAATCCTCAAGGAAGTCTCGCCATTGTTTTTTTAGATGCTTATCTAGAGAAAACCCAATGCGCCGGTATTCTAGATAAGTAGAAAATACGAGTGGTGTAGCAAAGGGAGGGGGGGGGGGGGGTCCGAAATAGACTCCGGGTAGAGAGGCCATTACCAAAAATAAACTAGCCTTGTGTTGAGACAATCAAGGATTGTCAAAAGTATACAAGAAGGGAGTAAAGTTTAGCGTTTTTCAGACGTTTATCTAGAGAAAACCACGCGCGAGTATAGAACGAGGGTGAAACTTCAGGGGAGGAGAGTGTGATAGTGAAACGGTCTAAATATCAAGAAAGGGAATTTAAAATAGTATGTGTGAGAAATATAATATTATAAGTCATAAACAACTGTAGATTAGCAGTAACTCTATCCGTTCCATGAAACTGGAGCCGTAATTTGTCTTAGTACAAACTCCAAGTCATGAAACTGGAGCCGTAATTTGTCTTAGTACAAACTCCAAGTCATGGAACTGGAGCCGTAATTTGTCTAAGTACAAACTCCACATCATGAAATTTGGGCCATAATTTGTCTAAGTACAAACTCCAAGTTGCCGATAGTGTTAACCAATAATCTTGTGTGAGACTTAATATTTGCTCAAAAGTCACATCTAAGAATAAATTCCAAAGAAAGGGACTAAAATAGGTTGCATGAGAAAGAATGGTTGTCCCATCCGTTTCATGAAACTGGGGTCTTAAAACACTCTGGGTTACAGGTTGAATAATTTAAATGGTTAATTACAAAAGTTGATCATAACATTTGCTCAAAAGTCGCACCTAATAATAAGTCCAAAGGAGAATAATTATTGAGTGAATTATTACAAGACTTATGAAGTCCAGGGATAGGAGACACCTCCATTATGTGACCGGGTGGAGGGAGAGGTATGGTTTTGAGGGACGTCTGGACGCAGATAAACTCAAATCCATGCTTAAACAGATGCATAAGGTGTGTAAAGGGAGAAGAGAAAGAGAGCGAGTGGAAGGGCTAGATACAGCCAAGGTGTGGCTCTCAGAGCCTCGAAAGAGAGAGGAGGGTGAGAGACAGAAAAAGAAAGTCAGAAAGGAAGGTCTAAGACAGAACCCACAGCTCCCCCTGTAGAACGGTCTGGATCCAGATTATACCCCTCCTTGGCAGATCAGGCCTGGAGGGAAAATCCAGACAATGAAGTAGTGGTGGTGAGGGGAAGGGTGCCACAGCAGGCTGCCGTTCTGGAGTTTCCACCCCCTTACCAGAACCAAGGGGAAGCTGAGGGAGCACAGGGGGAAATTAGAAAGAGAGAGAGAGAGACGGAAAGAGAAGGCTAAGAAAGTAACTAGAGTACTAGGGTACAATAGGGGGTCAAGGGACTGAAGGGTGGAAGACCCAGGTCCCTGAGGAGACTTGAACCCCACAACAAAAGTCCAGTTAGGAGCTGAGCTCAGGAGGGAGTCAGTATGAGTCAGGAGATGAGAGAGTAGGAGGGGGCCAGTACCCAATGATAGCCTTACCTAATCTATTGGCAGGGAATGAAGGGGCCCCAGCAACCTTAGATGTATACAGGCCATGAACACAGAGGGACGTGGCCCGAGCGGTAGAATGAATGACCCACCCCAAAACAGGAATAGTAAGGTTTGGGCTGCCGTTAGAGGGCAGTGGGTTTCAGGGGATGCCCAGACGGCACTTTTGCTATGGGCCGATCACGGAGAGTATGTTGGGAAAATAACTGAATTGTGTAATAGCCTCAGAGAACATTACCATCGTCACGCAGACTTCTCTAAAGCACATGAGTGTAAACAAGAGGATAGTGAGACTGTCACCCAGTACTTAGAGAGGGTTAAAGATGTGTTTAACGCAAACAGTGGCATACCCGAGCCAGACCAGAGACAGGGGAATGATACGCCCTACCATCAGCAATTAAAAATATAGCATTCCTCAGTGGAATGAGACCAGAGATAAGCAGGACCATTAAAAATACTTTGATAGGGTGGAGAACGGCACAGCAACACTGATTGAGGTTTAAAAAAAAGTATGCAGTTTACCAAAAGCAGATTGGGAGAGAAAAGAGGAGTAAGAGAGACCTTAAGGGAGTGCCAACTCTCGGGGAGATAGTAGGCCAGAACAAAGGGACAGTGTCCTGGAAATCACAGTCTGTGTTTTGTTTTTTTGTCAGTTCTGCTGGGAGTATATTTGATGAAGGGGATTTGTGTTGAATAAGAGGCTAGAGACTTCATAAAATAATAATTGCTCTGGGAGAGATGGCAGGTAGATGTAGATTCTAGTGAGGAGGAGACTGAGGAGCCCATTGATCCAAGTTGTGAGGTGTTTGAATTGGCTACTATTGACCTAGCACTTCAACAGGAACAGAAACCTAATTTGACATTGACAGTAATGGGTAAGAAAATTAAATTCCTATGCGATACAGGGGCTTGCAGGACAGCAATCTGTTCAGCAGACAAACCAAAGGGAGTGAGGATTGATGGGGAGAAAATCATAGTGCGATCTGCCTCTGGTCATCAATTTATTGAAAGGTTATCAGCCCAATAACCCTAAAACATGACCAATCAGGAGGAGAGGCAACCATACCCGTCCTGATATCTAAGCTGTGTCCGGTAAATTTACCAGGACGTGATGTAATGACTAAATTGAATGTGGCCGTCATTTCCACTGAGAGGGGAATGAAAGCACACATAGTCAGAGACAATATGGTGGTCTGTGGGGAAGGGGAACCATGTTATTGGTATAGTCAATACTTTTTATGGGGGGGAATAACTGATATTCCCCGAACCTTAATGGAACTTGCTGATGATGTGGTACCAGGCCCCACTAAAATGTCCCCTGATGACCTTCACTGTACTCTCTGGTATAACCAACACCCAGGTCCAGATTCAATCTATGAGGAAGCACTATTT